TTTGTTCTAAAAGGAAAAATCCGCTCATATTCAAAATCCAAACTTCTGAAAGTTCTTTAAATCTGAAATGATTCCATCCTGTTCAATAAATGATCAGTGTTTTTAATTCAGAGTAATTTTCATGTGAATGTGCTTTACTGGAGGCATCCATGTTTGTCAAAGAACACTACTGCCACCTACTGGTTAGTGACATTGTCACGGTGCGGTATCGGCTGTTGATCAAGTCCCAGTGCTGTATCTGGTGTTTGTCACAACGCGCTATTATCCAAGTCATCTTGAAAACATTCTTCTTCCAAATGTTGGCTACATATTACGGGTTTTTTCTCAGGCCAGAAGTTCGATGGCATTCCCTGCCCGATAACTTTGTATTTTGGAATGATAACCGAACAGTTTAACTTTTTCTTTTTGTTTTGTTGTTTTCAAATTCAAATTTCTGGCATCAATATAAATCCATACTTCTATCAGAAAAATGAGAAATTGAGCACCGTACCACATGTGAAGGCTGAAAAGCAACCCTTCAGACGGGTGCATTTATCACACTGCCAGTTCATCCTAGTAGATGAGACAAAACACACAGCGTCCATATCTATTTATGACAGCCACTTGATGCACATCCCACTTCACAACATCCTTTTTTTCGTATTGCTTCAGTCGCCACGTCGAGCACTTCCCTGTTTGCGCTTTCACTCCTGTCTGATTGTGGGTATCAGCTGCCGGCAAAGTGTCTGTAAGAGCTGTCAGCACTACTGTCACCATCCTGCCCTGCATGAACAACAAACCAAACTGATTCGGGTTCAGATTCAATTTGCCAGGGGTGTATAATTTATTTGAGTCTCCATTAGCCTTTGGCCTCATCTATCACCACATAATGTTGGGCAGACATGTTGCTGGTCAAAGCGCTTTGATCTGAGTGGGTCTGTCAGCAAAATAGCCAAGAGCCTTTCAGTCAGTCAGCCGATGGAAACACGACCAGACAAGGAGGAGAAACCAGAAGTAAAGATGGCAACATGGAGGGCAGCAGGGTAACAAGGAATATTCAGTTCAAAAGGTGAAATTAGTAGAAATATTTGGGAATGAATATGTCTGATTTACCTAAAGCAGCAAAGGCAGCAGAAGCAGCTGGTTTCCATGCAAAGTCAATGGTTGATGCGCATCAAGGTGCAGCAGAAGATCCTGCAGCATCTGAGCAGCATCTGAGCAGCGCCTCATGAGCTTCTGAGGCGCTTTAGAAGCAGCAGCTGCTGGAGTTGGAAAAATGTAACTTTAGCTGCTTGACATCAACCAATGAGAGAAGCTGATCTGGGAGCTGGCAGGGAGTCAGACGCAGCACTGCTGATGCAGAGCGCTATGATCACTCCTCTGAAACAGTTTATTAACGCCTACATTAACTTCAAATGTAGAAACCTGCCGGCAGAATATGTTGGCTTTTATTATCCTGCTGCCTGCAGTTTGTAGCACAGACCTGAAAAACGCTAACATCTACTTCCAGCCGCCACCAACAGGAGGGGAAAACCCTGGAGAGGCGAGCGGGCCTGAGGCAGCTGCTGCTGGGGATTCCCAGTGACAGCGCAGCGCCGGTATGTGGGGGTCTGAGCGGCTCCCACAGAGAAATAATCTTTGAAGGCAGGATGGTAATCTGGATGAACTGACTGCACAGACCATGTTTTCAGGAGGACTTTCTCACTTCAACATAGATTCTAACTACTTTTTACCCGCTGATCACAGCTAATATAGCTGCCATTGTTCCAGGCAGAGAAAGGATAGGGTAGCTCCGCCCACCGCGCATCAGAACCACCCCATAACTATATCTTATAATTCTACATTTACAAATATGATTGTATTTTATGATGATTTAAAGTAGGTGAGGTCAGGGGAGTTGAGGTGAGGTTACGTTATAAAGCAAATTGGCAACTCACGATAATTAATTCATAATCAGTTAATCTTCTGTATGTGGAAATATATACACTATGCTTTAGATCAGGGGTCTTCAAGGTTTTCCAGGCCAAGGACCCCCAAACTGATGGCGATGGAGCAGGGACCCCCTAATTATATATATTGGATGAAATAGTGTTCTATCAAACTGGTTCTATAGTCACTCTATTACAGATGGAGTAATGTAACTAAAGTAATCCCTCCCTGGGATTATTAAAGTTTTTCTGATTCCTGGTTGATGGGACAGGTGTTGTGAATGAAACGGTGTCCAGCTTAAAGAGCTCCTGTGTGTCTCTGAATGTGAGCATTGATGTCTGAAAGACATCTTCTGCCTCCATTTATCTGTTTACTACAGTCTGATGGATTCATGTTCATGTGGATTTAAAGACATTTCAATTAGTGGGGAAAAATTGCAGGGGGGATATAAAAAAGCTTTTGCAACCTCCATGCAGTACCTCTGTGGACCCCCTAGGGGACGCAGAACCCTTGTTGAAGACCTCCGATCTAGTTAGATCAGATCAAAGTTCAATGCAAAACACCATATTGGTGGAAAACATTTAAACAGACTTTGGAAATTGATCCCTTCCACCTGTATTCCCGGTGATGGCAGCATCATACTGTGGGCTGCTTTTGCAAGGAAAGAACAGCTGCTGTTATTCAGGTTCATTGTTTGGTCAGAACCTGTTTAAGGCTGAAAACTAGTTAAGATGAGAGAGAAAATAACCTTCTCCTTTAACACCATGGCCTCTAGGTGGTTAAATGCTAATTATTATTTATTATTAGTTATTTTCAGATTTTCATTTTTATTACTTTCACAAAATCTCTTTTAGTTTTGTGCCTGAATTGAATCCCCTGTAATCTAGCATGTAGCTTATGTGGCGTTTCATTCTGTTTCCCTCTGAACAGAATGAAACGCCTGAATAAGCTGATAACAGAAAGCAACCAACTATGATTCAGAGCAAAGGACTGAAGAGGTCATAAAAAGTAGTCAGATTAAAAATGAGGAGCCAGAAAGATGTTTGCATCAGGAGGAGGAGCCGCTGCTTTATCTGCCATGGATGAACACGCAGCCTCCATATTGCGCCATGCAGCCCTGAGTGGAGCAATCAGCAGAGGCAGATCCACAGATGGACGACGCTAACGCTAACGGGGCTCTTTTTCATGATCAGACCTTGAAAACCTGAAGCCGTACATGAGCAAAATATCATCCTTTGCCAGAATTGATCTGAAGGAAAACTATAACAGCAGCAGAGCTGCACCATCGTGCACCACGGATACACATGGCTGCACTTTTACGTTTATCATTGAGAACTTCCTATTTTAGAAACTATTTGTTCAGAGTTGTATTGTTATGTTAACCTATTATAGCGCAATCAGTGAAATCCTTTGAAAATCCAAATTTCAAGCCAATAACGTTATTGGAATCCAGGACAAGACCTTATTACATTTGTAACATTTTAAAAAATATGGATATTTTGATGGTAAAAATGAACGTTGCTGTAATAACAAGAAACAGCAACTTGCCCGAATATATTAAGAAAAATAACCAAAGTGTACGGGGCGCCATTTGTAAAGTTAGGCAGTCAAAAACTAGGCGCAATATTTATGGTTATGGTTATAGTATGGTAAGTCATTTCTTAACTGTGTCATTCATTCATTCATTTAGAAAAAACTCAATTTGTTAAATAAATATTTAGTTTGGAGCTAAATATTTATTTAAAAAAACAAAATATTTAATTTGCAAATTAAATCCGCCTTGGTGCCTTCGCTCTTGGGGTCCCTTTGGGCGCCTGGGGCTTTGGGTCTCCCAGCGCTGGACTCAGTGCTCTGGGGGGGGGGGCGCCTCTTCGGCTCTCCACAACCACTACTGAGCATTTTCTCTATGGATAAACTTTACATGAACAAGTTCACCCTCATAAACAACTACAGGTGCTAGGCTTCAGGTACTTAGAGATTCACTTCCAAACAGAAACCCCACATTCATATCTTCAGGTAACACAGAGTACATGTCAGACTTAATAATATTACTTTAGCGATAGTTTCAAGGTGTTGCTTTATTGTATATCTCGTACCGTGTCTTTCGGTTGTGCTGTTCTTTTTTAATCTCGTTACAGGTGATGAAGCAGACTGAAAATGTTTTGTCATTGTCTCCTTTCTCTTCTTTCTTTCATCTTTTCTCTTTTTTTCCTTTTTCTTCTTCTGTTTTTCTGCTCTATTTACATTGCAGTGTCCATATAAACTGTAAAACTTAACATAATTATAATAAAGCAATTTATATGCAAGAAACAAGTGGAGCAATATGGCAATTGCCGTACTGCTACACTTGTGAAAGTTGGGCTCTTTTTGGCATCATTGCCAGACAGGAGACTGTAAAAAAGAAAATAAATAAATAAAACAATAATAATTTGCAAAATAAATATTAAGTTTGTTAAATATTTAGTTTCGAGCTAAATATGTATTTAAAAGCAATAATTTAATTTGTTAATATTTAACAATATTTAATTTGCTAATTTTCGGCTTCCTGTCATATTTATAGACCACCAGTAGGGGGCGTGAAAAACCACCCATCGCAGGAAAATTATGAAACATATTTTAGCAAGAATCTCATGTGTATATCCAATACCCGTTACATTTAGAAACAAAGAATATAATAGTATTTATGAATTTGCCTTTCTATCATAAAGAATATAGTTTTTTTCTCTTAAATTAGATTTACATAAAAAATAAAAAGTCATCCAGGCCTTGAGTTCATGGAATGATTGAGTTCTGCTATTATTGTTTAGGGGTCGGCCATTTCTCTAAACCTTTTTGCATAATGTTTAGTGTTTGCCTCCACATACATTCTGATCATGACATAAGTTCATACTCATCTCTTTTTGATTAAATTGCTTTCATGCCTTGTTAACCTTTTCTGTCTGTCTGGGCCAAAAGCAATGAGAGAGTGATGGATGTTTGCTGGAGGCTGAAGTCTCGTCTCTGTTCTTCATGGCTCTCCAGCTCATCCTTCCTTATCCGACATAAAGTCTCTGTTCTTCGTAAATTCTGTGTTTTATTTGCGTCTCTTTCAGGTTTCTCGGAGTGCCTCCTGGTAGAGGTAGCTGCCCACTCACTGGTCCGCTGCCCTTTGACCTCATTTACACGGACTACCACGGCCTGCAACAGATGAAGCAACACATGGGTCTCTCCCTCAAGAAACACAAGTTAGTGACCAAGTCTGCTTTAAACAAAGTGCAACTGAAATATCCGGTGGCCAGGAAGGGTATCCGAAACATTTAAAGTCGTAGGAAAGTCGTATTTAAATGTCAAATCAATCTGGCTTAAACATGTATATAAATGTTCTCTTTATCAGAAGATATCATTTCAAAATTTAGAAAATTTCTATAAAAAATCCTGTCTTAAAATCTATAAAATAAATAAAAACATGTCTATTAAAGGAATAACCTAGCTATTTTTAGGGTTTAACAAGCCATTCTATCTTTCATTTTTTTTTATGAATGATAGAGATTATTCATAACTTAACTCTTGAAAAACCACCATAAAGCAGAACATAATCTGAATTTTGAGGCTACTGCAGAACAGTTGAGTTGATCTCATGTATTTATGTGTTTTTTTTATTTCAAGCTTAATCTATTTCATTAAATTCCCACATGGGCAGGTTTTATGGTTGTAATTTTAGACTAATAAAAACTTGCGATTACATGTATGTATACGACTATATCTTATTCTGTTTGCTATTTTTTTTATGTTAGAAACTTACTGTTGCATCGGCTTCAGTAAAAACTGGAAACATTCAAATCAATATTACTTAAAGAAAACGGACGACAACATGGCTAACAGCAAACACATAAACTGCCACAGCAATATCTGTCAATCCCAATTCCATCACACAGCAAGTTTAACATCACAACATGATGTCAGGGTTAAGAACAGGACCGAGTATTCAAGGCCAGACAGATGGTGGATTAACTCAAAAAGCATTTATTTAAAAGCAGCGATTAGGGCCTCTGAGGCTGGAAACTCTGCAGGACAGAAACACAGATTAGTGACCACATAAATCTAATGGAGGAAGGTTATGAACGTGAGTCACTAACCTGGTTTACAACTTCAGCCCATGCCCTGAGAACAAGTTAGGATCCATCCAGTGGCCTGCCAACGAGATACGTCGGGCGCCTCCCACAGTGTCCCAGATGGTGAAGCACTGGAGAACATGCAGTATTCCGGAGCCAGGTCAGGCAAACAGATCAGAACAGGCAGGCTCAGAGGTCCAGGAGTCTGACGCTTGGTCAGGCAAACAGATCGTAACAGAACAGGAAGGCTCAGTGGTTGAGAGGAAGAACAGGTCAGGTCACACTAAAATAGCTCTCACCACTGGCACAAGAGAACAAGATAATCTGGCCCTGATGACTGGATGAAAGCGCCTTAAATAGAGGCAGGAGCAGGTGGACAGAGTTAGACAGGCAAATGGAAAGAGTAATGAAGCCAGTCATCAGCACCAAGATCATTAGATATGACATGAAGTATAATGTTGGACGCATATTAAATACTTAAAACTTAACAATTGTCCTATACAAGCACATGAAATCATCACCCTGCGCCCATTTCTCCACACAACATTACTCACACACATTGTTTGACAACAGACCACATTTTTAGGAGCTTCAAGATGCTGTTATGATCATTCTAGGCTAACTGTGATCAGGAGAGAGATGCTAAAGCAGGAAGGACAGTAAAGATGTGTGTGTGATTTTGTTATAGTTAAATGGAGAGGTCCACTTCCTATAACCTGACTCCGCCAGATGCATTTGCTCCGCATATCCATCTGGAAACCTTCTGTTGAAGTAATTTTGGGAAGGGGCGAAAATACCGGTTAGCTGATTGGCCTATGTTGGTGATAGACGGGCCAAATAAACCAATCAGATCAACGAAGCATATGACGTACTAACAGAGCGACGACGAAGAGGAGCCAATTGATAGATCAAGCTCTTGGTGAAACCAGTCGGGAGAAGAGCAAAAACATCTTTTCCTCTGAGAAAAGCCTCCAGATCAGTGTTTTGCTCTTCTTTCAGTGAAGAAATACTCTGTAATTCCCATAAAACTTGCTCGATAGCCACGCTAACGCTAGTTTCATTGGCTGAAGCCGCCATGTTCTTTAGACTGAACTGTCGCGCTTCTCGTTGCGTCACACCTCAACCCGCCTCAAAGCCAATGCTGATTGGACGTTCGTTTGGTGAACGGCTCCAAATTTTCTTCAACGGAGAGTCTCCAGACTGATCAGCGAGTGAAACCTTGAAAGCTCGCGAGATCAGGATGGTCTCACCAGGCTACACTTCCTATGCTTCTGTTTTGGCACCAAAGAGAGAACCATTTTTCTGATTTCACTATCAAACTGAGGACCCCTTGCACCAAAGTAAAGACATGTTGCTGGTCCTCACTTTATTTTTTGCTCATGGTTAGGCTTAGGACTGAGTTTAGATCAAGGTTAGTGATCTGTATGCACTTGCAGTGGGGGGCACAGGGCTCGCTCCCTCTTGCGACCCATTCATCCATCCACCAATCGATCCTCTTCCGCTGAACAGGTGTTGGGTTGCGGGGGTAGAAGCTTCAGTAGAGAAGCCCATACGTCCCTCTGGGGGAATCCCACGGCATTCCCAGGCCAGCCGAGAAACATAGTCCCTCCTGCGTCTCCCTCTGGGTCTCCCCGTGCCCAGAACACCTCCCCAAGGAGGCGTCCAGAAGGCATCCTAACCAGATGCCCGAGCCACCTAAACTCCCCTCTTTGGACCCATTTGGTGAAAACCATATGGCACAGTGCCGTCTCTGGAGCCAAAACGAGTGCTAAACTGTCCCATTGGAAGCTAAAACCTGTGATAAGCTCTAAAGTTCCCTCCTACGAGCCAAAAAGCAAACAAAACTGCCCTCTTGGGGCCGAAGCATGTGCTAAACTGCCCCCCTGGGTGACAAAAGCATTTTAAAGTTCCCACTTAGGAGTCGAAACACATGCTAAAGTCCCTCTTGGGGTCAAAACAGGATTAGGGCATAGAGGGAATTGAAAACCCAACATGCTCTTTACTTCATTTTACCTTTGATTCGGAAGATGATACTATATTTGTTAAATGGGGAGGGAAACTTCCTGTGTCTGTGAGGGATTGCTGCCAGAAAAAAAGTGTCCTTAATGGCTTTTGGCATTGACACAGAGTTTCAACATCCTGGAATCTAGGCCATGACAGGCATGACGAAGAGGCAAAAAAAAAAAGAATTAACACCCAAAAAAAAATAAAAATTTAAACTGCCAGAATAAACTGAAGGAAAATAATCAGCTGCACATCCCTGAAAGTGAAGCAACATGAAGGCATTTCCGCCTCAGGCCTGTTTCATGCTGTTGCCTCACAATCAAATAAGACTGAGAGTCCAAATATTTTCTCCTTCTGGATCCCAGTTTCCTTCAACAAACCTCTGAAATATGAGTTTTTAAATGGTTTTCTTGTTTATAACTGCAGCTTGGAAAGTTTAAACAATGGGCTGCAATAGTATTTTATTTGTCTATGAGGCTGGATAAAATATAGAAATATATATATAACAAACAGGAGTCAAGAGAATAGAGATGCAGAGATTTTAGGGAACTGAAGAGTAGAAAGCCTCTGGAACCACTTTTAAAGTTCCACTCCATGTATTTTTAAAATCCAATTATGAGCTAGAGAAATGCATTACTGGTGGAATTGGGAGGTATTTTCCCAGTATGTTTCCTATTTGGCTGCCTTATCTTGTAACGATTTGTCCTTCGCTCACACAAAAGACACAAACCCCCACATTTCCAGCAGACGAACCACGGAAGTCAGCGCCTAATTTCTCGCTTTGTTCACTTTTCTGCTGTAGTTGTTACAGAGAAGTCATGATCCTGACTGTCTCTACAAAGATGGGATTTTTTGTGTTTTTAAAGTCTTTTGTTCTTCCACACATTTACTGTTGAGGGTCTAACAGTCTTTAAAGTTCCTGAGGTATATGATTATACTGTCTATCTAGACAAACTTCTCATGTAATATTCCTGCTGCTATGTTAGAGTAACCCTATTTAACAAATCATTGAAACTTAAAGGTACAGCTTGGTCTGATGGGAGGTTTAGTGGAGGTATTATTGTAAATAGTTCCCTAATGTGCAGGAAAAAGGCCTAATATCACCATAAACTTGTTGGAAGAACAGATATCCTCAGTCTTGGAAAGCTAACAATTAAACAGAGCTCTGTGAAACTCTCTAAGGCAGGAGAAACCAGTTAAAAATCAGCGAGGTCCAAATAAAGAAAACCAACAACCAGGAGACATTTGAAATTATAATCCATTACTTTAAACAGAATTTAAAGTCATAGGGAAATTATATTTAAATAACAAATCATTCCGGCTTAAACATGTATGTGCTTCCAACCATAGATGGAGCCCCATCAGCTGTGATAGATGTCATTATCTTATTAACTCTTCAGATTCCTCTTTGCGCTTTAGAGTCCCTAGTAACACCTTAGCAACAGTGGCAAACCACGCCCAGCAATCAGCATGCATAAAAAAAAGGTTCCCTGCATACTTTTAATTTTTCATTTTATTATTATGAAAATAAACATTGGCCTCTCGTGATCAATGATTTGATTAGTGTTTTTAAAAATTTTTTTTTTTTGTCATAGCCATAAATAGGTCTACATTGTAAAACTTCTCACGATCGATTGAAACTCCGCCCGCGATCGACTGGTAGATCGCGATTGATTGGTTGGGCACCCCTGTTCTATAGGGTATCTGGTCCTTCAGGTCTCTATTAGGCTGATAGAATGATTCTATAGGGTATCTGGTCCTTCAGGTCTCTATTAGGCTGATAGAATGATTCTATAGGGTATCTGGTCCTTCAGGTCTCTAATAGGGTGATAGAATGATTCTATAGGGTATCTGGTCCTTCAGGTCTCTAATAGGGTGATAGAATGATTCTATAGGGTATCTGGTCCTTCAGGTCTCTAATAGGGTGATAGAATGATTCTATAGGGTATCTGGTCCTTCAGGTCTCTAATAGGGTGATAGAATGATTCTATAGGGTATCTGGTCCTTCAGGTCTCTAATAGGGTGATAGAATGATTCCATAGGGTATCTGGTCCTTCAGGTCTCTAATAGGGTGATAGAATGATTCCATAGGGTATCTGGTCCTTCAGGTCTCTAATAGGGTGATAGAA